AAATATAAGACGAGATTGGTAAGGTTTTTTTAAATTAATGATAAAGGTCAATCAATTAATGGTGATAAGGGGAATCCAATAGTAATTAAGTTTCAGGGACGTGCCGCGTAGAAAGAGATAGGAATTAACAAATTGTTAGCAATGGGTTCACTAATATGTAATCCTCATCACAATCGTTTCACCCCAAATTAGTCAGAAGTTTGATGTGCATAAAGACGATATATATATTAGTTACAAATATTAAATTCTTAGATAATTTTAATATTCTTCTTTGGAAAGTATACACTATACCTTGAGGAGATAAAAACCATCGCTCCTAAGAATATCCTTCTGTTTTTGTGCCTGACGGGCCTAGGTAGCGAACTTTGAAAAAAAAGGGCGAGCACAATAGGTCCATGTAGGTCGCAGAGGTACAGGTCTTTACACCTGACAATAGCCCAAATTCGTCAACGAAAAATATAATTTTATGTCATTACAATTAAATAGTTGGTTATTAAGTATTTATTTGCAAAAGTTTAATCATCGATAAATACAGTGATATTACCACATTATTAAGTTTTCTACTACAGCGCGGTCTTAGTAAAGGGATAATTAAAGGCATTGGTTGGTCACATTATTTGCTTTGTCTTCGGATCTAGTTGTAAAACAGTAAGCAGCCGCGGTGGGGTTTGTCGGTAATCCTACGTTAATTAGCAGTTTGTTGAGCGTCCTGCAAGCGTGCTATACGGCTATGTAAACTGGCTAGCAAGCACTTGCATATTAAATAAAGAACTTAGTAATCTTTAATTACTTAGCTACTACAACTACTATATATGTAACTGTGAACTATTGTTGTATTGTTGCTGATTTGAAAAAAAATGTTTATTTGCATTTGTTTATTGTATACAGTTGCTTGCGTGGTTACCTTTGTCTCGTCTATTTAAGTTACCATAAACCTTACCTTGCACTTTAATAATTGTTTCAGTTAAGGTTCAAATATGACAGTAAAGCTACAGAATATGGAGGTATGATACCTTAGTTTTTCAGAATAGAAATGCGTGGGGATAACATTTTTGGAAACTTTAAATTTGTATTCTAGTTAAATTACCACACGCATGTTCATTATTCATACGCCCGTAATTCCTGCCATGTTATAAGGATGCGATGCGATGGATGCGGATTATAAAAATAAATAAAAATCGGAAATCATTCTTATTTCGAAATTATGTATTACATGTTCTCTATGTATGGTTGTTGTTATTTATGTAGATTTTGTTCGGGGAACAAAGTTCGCTCGCACTTTCAGCACCCGACTGTAATGTAACGGGGTAACGTGTACGGCATACGAGCAGGCTTTTATCACGTTGTTTTGTTACCGTCTGGACACTGGGGCCACGCCGTACCGTACTGCGAATTCATAATTACCAACAAATTATGCGGATAGAGTTTTGTTATGGTTTGTGAAATTATTCCCCCAAATAAGTGCACGTTAACTTGTTTAACTCCCGTTTTAATTTCGATTACGTATGCGTACATCTTTTATAATTGTGTGATCTAAGTATTGTACGTATTATTTCATACATTGTAATATTTCTATTCGAGTTTCAAAATAAGGTAATAAACCTTTTGTAACTAATGCATGTACGCGATTAGGTATATATCTGTTCCCATTACATAAGTTATCATGTTAAGAAAATTTGTGTATATAAAATTTTATTTATACAGAATCAGTTCTTTATTTTTGATTAAATGATATAAAATATATACCACCCACTAGCATTGTTAAAAATAAAACAGTAATTAAAATTAAAATATTTCAAATACCAATTAGTGAATAGGTGCTATTAAAAGCAAACTTGTAAAGAATTTTCTGAGGTAAACAAAATGAAAATATCATTAAAAATGTGTCTAACTAATTTTATAATTAATAATTATAAAATTAGTTTTCACATGAAAAAAGACTTACTAAAATGAACTTTGCAATAATTAACAAGCAATCTCGCGAGACGGTACCTACTACTGCTAATCCCACACTAATTACTGGTCAGAAGACAATTGGACTCGAAACGGTACACCCAATGCAATTAGTAGAACCATGGATAGAAATAGAATTTACTGAACATTTCACTAATACGCTTAAATGTCCTTTTCACTTTTGTCCTGGCTACTTATTGAATTTAATACAACACTAACATCTAACGAAATTGTATAGAACTAAATAAAAATCAGCATTACTTTTAATGTTTTTTAGAACTATGAAACCAATGGCTGGTTTCATAGTTCTAAAAAAACATTGGAAATGAAATTTTGCTATGATCGCGACACAATATAATCCAAAGTAAACTCGTCCCGAAGATGAAAGGAATGAAATTCTTAAAGGGAAATATTACTTTGCAATTGTGAAATTCTTCACAGAAACAACTCGCGACGAGGTAATGTTCATTTCGACAAAAGACGAGCAATATTCGCCGCACAAAGGAAAGCACCCGATATATTCAATGCAGTGACACAAGAAATGCCAGCGCAAAGCGGTAACAAAGCTTATATTGAGGGTTACATCGTCGTAGCCCACCGCCGAACACCATCGCTCTCGCTGACGGCCGACGATAACGCCGCGCCATGCATCGAACTGTACCTACGTCGCATCTTGAAGAAAAAATTAAGAAGGTAGTTTATCTATTTATGTTCATTTTATACGACTAGTAAATATTACAAAGCAATGTGTTTATTTAACACCAAGGATCCTATTTCATGCCAGAGTGCACTGTATTAGAATTTAAGATCATTTCGTCTTGTGAATATTTTTCTATCTTTGGGTTTTGTTTACCTTTCCATTGATGTGTTAATGTATAAATGTTGAGACTTCAGAAATGAACAACTAGAGAACTGTGAGTCGCTTGAAATTCGTACTAGTAGTACAACATAAAGTGAATATAAAAATTTGTGCATCCATTATTAAAATTACAATTCTAGAAATAATACAATTACACCAACTTTACAAAATACGTATTCAAATGTCAAATAAATATACACGTAACACACAAGTCTATTAAATTTTCTATGTAGGTAATCACGACTTTTTAACAAATATATGCAGAAATATTTTCTTGAAATAAAAAAAAATATGACGAGTATCGTGATCATTGCATACCACCTCAAAAATTATGAACTGAAAGTGTATTTTCTAAATTCCTCAATTAAGTTATAAAATATGTTGTTTTATTGCAACTATATTTTCTACATTAACAAATACTAATATAAATTATTTGCCAATGATAGCAACAAATATTATCAATATTTAAAATCGAGAATATATTTTTTTGTTAATAGAAAGTGTTTGCTGGAGGAATACTACAACATTTAAGTGGTATAATATTGAAATAAAAAATGGTTAGAATTTATTATACACAGAATTTAATAGTGAAGCCACGGAATGTTTGGAAAGAAGAGAAAAATATAAAGTAAAACAAAACAACATCGATGTTCCATGCGTGACGTTCTAAATTGGAATTTTATTTTTTAAATGTATTATAAGGCTATTTGCGATCGTAAATAGAGAGAAAAATAAAGCGTATTGAATTAAAATATAAGAACGACAACGACGTTTGAAGCTAAATTTCATAGTTAAAAATATCCTAATATTAGATTGTAAGACTATTTGTACGTATTATAGAATTTTGAGCACGTTATATAAAAAAGTTAACTTCGAAGTTATAAGATTTTAATTTAGAAATAAAAGAACTTATAAGAATAAATATACTTTACCAACAAAATGAGAAGTTTAAACGTTGTTGTCTACCGAAAAATTAGTGACTTTATTTGTGATACTATACGAGTATAATAGGAATATTAGACTTAATATTTTTAAACTACAATATAAGTTATACCTTGTTATTACGTTGCCAATGGGTAGCTCTGCTGTGTATTATGTATTTTAATAAAAATAATGTGTTATTTTTAATTTGTGGTATTAGGAATTTGTAATAATGGTTGTAATTGAATGTACTAGTAATAAGTCCTCTGGATGCATCGCCACAATCTCAACAATTTCAGCTGCCAAGTAGCTTGCTTTGTGAGACGTATTTCGGTTGAAGGATAATAAGATAGTGAAATTACAGGTTAAGAGGCACAACACCTTAGTCTTTAGGAATGGCAGTGCATGATAATGTGATGTCTGCAGCGCTATTCATGTATACATGCGAGAGTTACCAGTTGCCATCAGGAAGCCTTCAACTTGTTGCCTTTCCAATTACTTAAATATAAAACTTATCATTGTGCTTTACAATTTCAATACAATACAAACTTTCCCAAAAAAATTGTTGCGTTTAGAACAATCGTAATAGGAACAATTAATATTTCGTCCTTATAAAAAATAAATGTTACAAATATGTCAATCCTGATAAATTTCAAACTCACGACAAGTTCAAGAGTTCGTAAAATTATTCTACAGATGTACGCATGCGTCCGGTTTACGCGCCACCCCTAAAATCTTACGACCGCCTCCCTTCGAATATCTTTACCCGTAAAATGAACCCTGTGTTCTTAAACATAGAGATCTCACGTTTAGAAATTCATCATCGTACGAAAATTTGAAGTTTTCGTCATCTTCGGTTCTAAAGCCGTCATTATGTGCGTGTAGGAAGAATTAGATTTTCGTGACGTATTCTCTGAATTCTCACACTACGGCTGGTGCAGACTTTTTGAATAATACTTAAGCAAATAGGACTCAAATTGTTTTGAAATAAGGTTTGGAATTGGTTGAATATTGTCGAGTGTATGGAATAATTTTACAGACCAAAAGTAGACTGAGTATTCAGTTGGCGGTGAGCCTCGACACTGAGTGAACGAACCTTTGCGTCCGTGACCGCGTTTATCGTAACTTATTTCGTAACAATTCCCGCAGATAGAATTGTACCCGTACTATTTAATTTTTGCCAATATGTACTAAAATGCAACTTTTATTAACATTGTTTATTTAATAAAATTAATATTCGTAGTAACTTCGTTTTCGTTGATGTTATTAAAACTTGAAAAAAATATGAATAAATATTAAGTTAAGATAAAATTCAACTTATTCTAAAATAATTATCGAAGAGGGAGAGACGTGTGAGTACTTACTATTTATATTTTTATCGAAATAATATAAAATTATGGCAATGAGTTTTGGATAATTAAAATGATAAAATATGAATTTTCAATTCCAAAATACCAATAAAATGTCTACATTTCAAACCTAAGTTTGTATAAAAGTTATATAAGTGCTCATGCATAGTTTAAAACATTTTTAAAAACAAAGTGATATAAAATATATAAATAAAAATTAATGTCAGTATGTTGATGTGCTTTATACTTGTAATAAATATAATAAAAGTGAATGTAAATCGTAGTTAGTGTGCCGCCGTACCGGGGCTTTCAGTGCAGGCGGGCATAGCGACTCCCGTCCGGCGCGGCGCGGCGGTGGTGGCGCCCGGCGCTCGAGCGATCCTAGCATATTTGCCGTTTCGCCGACATTCCCCAGTTAATTAAAGCCCATTTGTACACTGTCTTACGAAATATAATTTATGAAATGAGAAAATGTTTCAACATTTGCAAAATATTTGACTGAAATAATTCAGCAAGTGATTTGTGTATACATTTGTTTCTTGCTTAATCGGTGCGAGCTGAATATAATTAACGAGTTTCACTCGTATTAGTCGGTATTAAGGATTAAATATCTAAAAGATTATGCTTTGCATGTCTACAAATTTTGTAAGCCTATCTTTATTATTAAACAACTGCCACCACTCCACCTCCATGTCGATTTCAAATAAGCCCGCCTCGATCTTAAGCTCCGCCTACCATTCGAGGTAAATATATTCTTATGTAAACATAGTCCTATATACTTCGCGATATACAAACCTTTTCCTTGTATAAACATCCTTATATAATACCTCCAATTCCGTGGCTACTATTTTGGGGTGTTATTACATATAACTTATATGTTAGGAATGGTAAGCATAATTTTTATAAAGGGTCTAAATCTATAACATTTTAATATTCACTGAATATTTAAAAAAAGAGATGATAGGAAATATTTTATTTAAATTCGTTTGTTCAGATATATGTGTAGTGTACCAGTCAACATTTATTTATTCTATTCCAGATCTTAGATTAAAATTGAAATCCAGTTTAAAAAGGATTTTTAATAGTTGTACTATATAAATGCCGTTACGAAAAATAAATATCCATCCCGTAATAAATGGACACAAAGGGCATTTATATTTGAAAACAGCGCTTATCTAATAGGACAATGTTAACAAACAAAATCAACAGAGCGAGCGTAACTTTCGTGAAGCTAAGAAGTCGAAACTGTGTATACAATGTCCTGGAAACAGTGAGCACTAACAAGCCGGCCATCCGAACTTGTTAAACGTACCGAGCGGACAACCAACGAATAATTCTAGCGGTTGGTCAGCTCCGAAACAGACAGTTTGGAAGTGTGGCTTGGTTTTAGACGGGAAAAGCTGAGACTGACTAACACTCTCGCCGTTATGTACGAAAACTTCTAATTCTACTGCCTAAGAGCGTTACAATAACGAAGATGGAGTCGCAGTCTTTAGGCCGTACCCGCCAAACTCCTACGGCAAGAAATCATATTGTCTATACCGATCACAAAGGACGAAAGTGAGTATTTATTTATATAATTTAATGTAACAAATATTATTATTTTATTATTATTATTTTATATTATTATTATTATTTTATTATCCGATAAAGTCTGTGACAAATTTATCCTTTAATTTTTCTTGTTTTCTAAATTGTAGTTTATATATTACATTAAGGATCTTCTATTTATAAATTTAGTGAAATGAAAGTTTTTTTATAATAACTATCTAGCCTTGTTCTCTCCCTGAGTATGCCGAAGAAAAATAGAGTGTCACAATCTGTCCTTATTCTCAACTGTCAACTGTTTCTTCATTCACTTTCTTACGTGCCAGTTCCGGACAGAGACAACAACCGATCTATCTATTTGGTAAAACCTAAAACATAATAAATATTTAAGTTAATTTAAAGTTACTGTTTTGACTTTTTCATAACAGTTGGAATGTGGAGAAATATATTGGACAGCTAAATTCAAAACCTTTAAACCAAACAAATGAGTCCTATTATTACTCTCAATTTAGTCTAACAAGCAACTTAGAGTCAAAGATTCGACGAAGCGAGAAACTCAATGGCCGTGAATTTTGTAATCTTCATTAATTTCCAACTGAACTTTGACTGTTTCTACTGACTTCTGTTTTTATTAATTTAACTCTACTTCTTCAAAATGATATGATTGTTTATATATAATTTCTATAATATTGCAAACACCTTGCAAGATTCGACTTTCATTACCACTTATATCTAATGACTTTATTGTAGTAGATTTAATTTAGCTCCAAATAAAAAAATTAAAGGATTATAAAAATATATTATAAATGTAATATGTAAGATTAACAATTGAGACAAAATAGAGAATTTTTCGTAGGTCTTTAATTCTTAATTTGTTATTAAACTAGGCCTCTGACAGGTCTTCAATACAGGGATAATAATCGTAATTTTGTCAAATATTGGTAATGTTAAAATTATAAAGGTATTATTACATCTTTGAGTCGTGGCAAAAGAAATTTTCATATAAATTGAGTGTAAGAAAGTTTGTAACCGTTGAACGAATGGCGACAGTGTAAACTTTGTAGAAGAATTTAAATTCCACCACTGCTATGACGTTTTATTGTTACTTCATTTGGTTTGTTCTTTACGTTATCTCATTCTCTTTTAAAACATTGCTTTCCACAAATTAAAAGCTTTTTAACATTAAATTTATATATTATGTGTTTTAAATGTAATAAGTACATTGGGTATGAATATGTAGATAGGAATAAAAAACTAATACCTAATTTACAGCCTACTTTGGTATGTCTATCCATATACGTAACTCTTATAATTCTCTAATTCATCATGATTGGCTTAAATTAAAAATGATATCTTAACGATACTGTACTATACCAGAATATATGTTTATATATATTTATATAATATACCATACAACATAAATTATAATACTAAATTAAAACCGGGCTGTCTAATTTATAACATTTATAAATTAGACAATCCGGTTTTAATTTAGTATACATATAACATTATTCATACCAAAGAACAAAGCTGTGAGAGTATTGATCTAGAATAAAAAGTGCCTAAAGTAAGTGGATGGTTGTAATAAAGTAATTTGAATAGAAATGGTCCACCGGTCCACATAAGCACCGCTAGCCGTCTAGCGGCCGAGGGGTTGGGGTGCACACAGAGAGGTACTGAATGTGTGTCGAGGAAGGACAGTGGAGTTACTTGTACAGTTTCCGTTAGTCACATTTTCACAACAAGGTATTCACATTTCGAGGACTGGAAAGTTGGCGTTATCGCGTTTAAAATAGAACGACAAACACATCTAACTTTGTGATGCAAAATGGACACGTAACAATGGAAAACATTTCGGCTTCTTATTTTATTGCGGTTGCGGACAAGAGACTAATTCATTTAAGAATTTTCATGGGGTTAACTTTATAATTGTTGTTTGAGGTTTGCAGACGGGAAAATACTTTTTTTAACGTGTAAGTTGTAAATTGTGTTTGGTATATTAACGTGAATTCAGTTGTCGGAGGCTGCCGAGTAATATGATTAAGTTGATTGATTCATTTTGCAGATGCAACTATTATTACGCAATTGTTCGTATATTTCGTTTACTGGGAACAGAATTTTACTTCCAATAACGTAATATATTTATATTAACGAAATAACATTTTAAGCAGTATTTATAGAAAACTGAGTATATTGTATTTCTATCTTATCAAGAACCGTCAGTAATTTATGATTAACCTGACAATGAAAAAGAACATAACATTGCTTTTTTAAGTTAATTAAATTATTTCACAATAAACTATGTTAATGATGAAAATTTATAAAGTTCCGTGATCCGGTGTTGATTAAAGGTTTATCTGTTTTGTTTGACAGCGACATATATCTATATAACCAGTAAAGGTGATCATCTTGAGTAATTATAGACATATTAAACTGTTCTTGCCCAACTTTTCATGCATTACTCCTTTTAAGGACTAATGACAGGCATCAGGCCTTTAATGTCGATTAGACTATAGTACCTATATATCTATATGTACATCTATACATATAAATAAAATTGGAGTGTCTGATTGTAATATTAAAACATTCGTTTTTTACTACATGCATACGAATATATACATACGGTACATACTCCAAAATAAACACTTTTTACAATTTTTGTCTGTCTGTCTATCGGTCTGTTTGTTCCGGCTAATCTCTGAAATGGCTGGACCGATTTTAACGAAAGTTAAATTCCATGCGGACGAAGTCGCAGGAACAGCTAGTAAATAAATAATTAAAACTAAATTTAATGAAACAAATAATGCTAATAAGATAATGACATGTTCATTACTTTAATTAACGGATTTCATGTATGAAATATTTTATTAGATGTCATAAAGAAAGTAGTAAAATAAAACGCTATTAGTATAATTGTTAGATACTAAACAGGCGGTTGGATTCCGATGCTTTAATTAAATTGGTCCATAGTACCTATGTATCTTTTATGTATTTCCTGAATTCACTAACATTAACGTTACGTTAATGACTACGTTAACTAAAGTTACATGAACTGAACACGTGAATGTAACAAAGACATGAAAGACAATTTCCGTGGTCGTTGATTACACGGTAACACATTTTGTGACGAAGTACCTAGATGTTTTATCACATTCCATATTCATGGAGAGTACGTCTCGACACGTGCCGAACAGTGCTTGGTACGAACATTATAAGTACGGGTAAGTGTACAAATTGATTTATTAAAGTTGAGCGAGTTGCCGAGTTGCGCCTGAGTATTCACAGACCTTTGCGTTACACAGATAAAGTGGAAATAAAAAAGAAACTTCACAAACAGAAATCCCCTTGTCGCAAGATTTACGAGCCGACGCACCTCCAGCGCAAATAAGTTATATGTAAATTTTATGTTCCGTTGAGAAACACAGCTCTAATGTAAGTGTAAACTTATAGCTGTAGCAACAACATTAAATCTATTGTTTTGTATATTTTTGTAAACACATTAAGTCTAATGCAATCAATTGACATTAAAATAGGTTAATGATCTAAAATACCGAACTACATTAGCGATCAATTTTGAACTAATACAATTGAATGAAAGTTTTACTAAAACTAATAATTTACTTTATGAAATCTGAATGAATAACATTCAAGTAAAAGTGAGTTTCCCGCGATAATTACGATCAGTCACGCGAATAATGTTTTAGGAAATGTGGATTTTAGTCACAAGGTTTCTGCTTTTTTAAAACAGGTACCTAACATTTTTCATCTGAATTATATATAGCGTATGAGTAGATATATAATGATCATAAAGAATGCATATAAATAATAAACAAGTTATCTATTAAATTATTAAATAATTTGTCTACTATTCAATCAGTCAATAAATCATCATAGATCATGCCAGTAGATCACGAGTCTACCTAAACACATTAATTTATATCTACATAAGTTTTGTTTGGACTGCTTTATGAATATTTATAGAAATACATTTTTGACTAGCTGTTCCCGCGACTTCGGCCGCGTGGAATTTAATTAATTTTTTCTAAAATAAAACATTTTTTCCTAAATAAAAGTAGCCTAAGTTACTCCTTATTACATCAGCTACCTGCCAAAAAAGACCCATCAAAATAGGTCCAGCCATTTCAGAGATTACTCGGAACCAACAGACCGACAGACAAAAATTGTAAAAAATGTTATTTTGGTGTATGTACCGTATTTATATTCAAATGCATGTAGTAAAAAAACGGTTCTTTTCGTATTACAAACAGACACTCCAATTTTATTTATATAAGTCTTGGACTGACATGCTTGTTTATTTCGTGAAAATTAAGATTTTAATAGTACTTATTAGAACTGATTCTATATTCCATGACTACGCAACAGTATATTATATTCCATAAATATGGTAACAAATAATCTTATTATATACTTATCACATCAGAGATTAGTGGACAACAACAGTATAATATGACGATTCTACATACTTGTAAGAGAACAATGCCAAAATAATAATGATGATTGATGGAACTGATCCGAGAGTACACGAACTTTTGTACTACAAATGTAAAAACAGTACAAAAACGTGTAATTTATTCTATTTTGTATAAATTGTATAAAAATATATACAAATTATTTATTTTGTAATAGAGGAAAAAATAGAAAAGATTAGGAAATTGCAGACAACGAAATCAGTAATCATGAAACAATCTATTATATTATATAAACGTGAAAAGGTGACGTAACATACAGACGGACACACTTTCGCATTTATAATATAAGAATGAATTGTATTCATTTCTCCCTGTTAAAATATAGAACTAGTTTAGCATAATACGACGCGAGATACACTTATATATAGAAAGTGAATTTGGATATTTTGATGTGATATTTATTCATTGGATTAACGTTCCGCAAATGCAAGCACAATTTAAACGCTATTTTCCGGAACAAATTTCTGTTTGTCAATTAAAATATTTTGAATCGTTGAAATCATTTCAGTGGCAGTTAATTTG